CCTTAATGTGTCCCCAAAATAATTCCACCCCATTCAGGGCATTTTGTGATGAGCCACCTGGTCTCAGCGCCACATCAGTCAGGTGGAATAATTTTCTTGTTAACCAGCTCCAATAAGCCACCTGAACACTACAGACGCAAGATGGAAATTGGAGTATAATGTGCTAAAATAGATTTAGATTTGGAATAAAACCTGACATCCTAGCAGCTCCAAACCAAAACTCTGCCGTCACAGACATTTCATTTTCATAAAGCACAGTGGCGTGCTCTCAAATTCCAATTATTTCTGGAGTTCAGCTGTCAGATCAGCTTTCTTGTTGGAACAAATCACAAATAAGTAAAATAAGAGTAAGACGCTGAAATGTTCAATGTGAGTCTAGTACTTTTTTTTTTTTTTAGATAAACAGGGATGGAATAAATTGGTAAACTAACAATGAGATGGAGTCCATTACAAGTGGTGTTTTTCTAGTAGTGATCTCTACTTTGCTCCAGCAGACCAAAGAAGTGAAGACATATTTTTTAATCATGTTACCACTTCATCTGGTCTAATGTTGGAGGCGGTATGTGTTAGTGTTGCACCAAATGTCTGAGAGTACAGGTGAAAATTAGTTTTCAGACTCTGTGGGAGTTAATTTAACTCGTCAGTCCCCGCCGAGCAAAGTAAAAGATCAAATCAAGCCCTTAAATTACAAAGGATGCAACGGTGTGTATCTGTTATTTAATGTCTTGTGGAAGTCACACAAGTTCACGTGGTATATCGGGTTGAGTGTGGAAGCCTGTGGAAAGCTGATTTAAATGCATTTAGTAAGTCATTAAAAGTTGCTACAGTTTTTTTATACTTTAAAAAAAAAATTCATAATGGAGTTTGTGTATACTTGGTACATAATATATAGTATTTAAAGGCATTGACAGGTACTTCAGCCCACCACACAGTTAGTTCCCGATGTCACTTGTTTGCCTCACTTGAGATCCATGCAGGCTTCTTGTTTTTTGGTTTCACATAATCCCAATAACAGCAGCAACATAAACCTAAACGCCAGACTTCAAATAGTCCCTTGATGAATTTATGGTTGATATTACAGACACTGTGTCTATGTTTTTCTACAATCTGTACGTGCTTTTAACATCTTGATTGCATCAGCTGTCTGAGCCTGTACAGAATTAGAGTGCCGTGTTAATATCTCACCAGCTCTGGCTGGCAGTACAAAGGCAGTCACAGTAAAACATCTCCCTCGTATGTGAGACTCTGCCAGATAAGCAAGGGTTGATCTTTTTGCACGAAACCAAGCATTTTACTAATTTGAGTTGCTGCACTGGAACAGAGTTCAAAGCAGAGCTGCGATTTGCGGCTGCTTTCTCATGAGAGAGGAGGCCAGCTCTGTTGGCAGTAAGACGAGCCGCTGATTGTTCCACTCTCCATGGGCCTCTCAGATGAAGATGGAGAGTATTGCAGGACAACAATCATCTGAAAGTACACAAATTTTACTGAGCTGAGCATTGTAAGACAGACCACACAAATAGCAACACACACAGATAGGAAGTAGGGAGAGAAGAGAGAAAAAAATACTTCATTTGTCGCTCCAGAACTGGTGTTGTGAATTTTGTGAAATTATTACTGAATCCATCTGTTGCAATTTCATCTAAATTCTACATCTGCAGCTCCATATCATTGGACTGCACATCACTTGAGCTTTTGGTGAAATAAAACACAATAATTTAATACATGAACCCCAGAGGTGTTCACAAGTGAATATGACTTTGAAATTATAGGCTCAGTCATACGAGGTAGTGATACAGCAAACTGATCTGGGCTTTGTTGCAGAGGCTTACAGAATTTATTATGTTTTTACAAAATGACTATTTTCAGAGATATTTTATAAGCTACTGCAGTTTTGAAGCTAATGGCTAATGCACAAAAAGGACAAAAAGATTCTTAAGTTTGTTTGTTTGCTTCTTTCCCTTTATCACTTGTTATCCTGGAGTTCCCTCAGCTTATTCATTAGCTTTAAGGGAGGGGTATCAAACATATTGCATGTTGATGTCAGTATTAACATGCTGAAGTGTATGGAAAGTAGTTCAATGAATGATAAAGAGGTTAAATGCTACTTTTTGTTTAATTTCCTGGGATGTGGATGTTATGAGCAGTGTTGGTCAAGTTACTTGAAAAAAGTAATCAGTAACTAATTACTGATTACTTCCCCCAAAAAGTAATCCCATTACTTTACTGATTACTTATTTTCAAAAGTAATTAATTACTTAGTTATTTAGTTACTTTTTAAAAACACGATTTACAACCTGAATAGGTAATAAAGCGATAGATCTTTCAGCCCAATTCTACTTTTTCTGCATAATCCATCATACAATATGTAGTCAAATGAAAAAGTCTCTTTTTAAAACTTGTTTTATTAGTTTTAATCTTTTAACTTTATGCATCAAGCAAAACTTTAATTACATGCAACATTCTCTGACTGGAAGAAATTTGTTTAACATTTAAACCTATTTTCTGCACATTCCAGCACATAAAATAAAATATTTAAAATAATATATTTTTTTGTGTTTACACTCAGTCTTTCAAATAGATGCAAGTGCATCACAGCAGAAAATAAATAAAATCAAAGACTAGCGGTCCTGTTGCTCTATTTTCACCTGTAAAGCAGGAGTGGAGTAGGCGGAGGTTTACCCTGGTGCAGGTGTGCCGCAGCGGTCAGTTGAAGAATCCGCGAGTTTCTCTGTGAATTTCCCATTATGTGGTGCTTGCTTGAAGCTTTAGGGGTTTATTTTCGCCGTAAAAAGACTTTTTCTTCCACGCACAACGGACACTAATGTTTTTGTCACTTTTTATGGAATCAAACTCAAAGTAAGGTCAGTACTTCCACGCTTTAAACGCTGCACGGTCATACTCTCTCCCGCACTAAATATATTATCCATTCTTGATCTGCACACAGCTGTTGCCACGAATGTCGCACTCGCTTACGTCACTGTCATGAGACATTCTCACAAATAAATCACGGTTTTAGTAATGCAGTAACGCAGCGTTCCTACGGGAAAGTAATGGTAATCTAATTACCGTTTTTGGAATAGTAATCTCTTACTTTACTCGTTACTTGAAAAAAGTAATCGGATTACAGTAACGCATTACTTGTAACGCGTTACTGCCCATCTCTGGTTATGAGACAACCTTTAACATTGTACTTGCTCTTCTGAAAACATCTCAGGAAGCCCATCGGACCGTAAATGTAAATAGATGGTTCATTGAATATGAACATTTTTTCATATAAAGGGAAAAGTGTAGTTTTCATTTTTCATGTTTCCATGCAGTGTAGCATGAGCACTAATGAGTTTGAGATGCCTGCTTTAAGGTTATTGTGCACAAATCGGTGGTTTGGCAGTTAGCTGCTACAGTTACTGATACTATCATCCTGGTTTCACACATTCAAATGTCAGTGCAAGTGTAATGTAACAAGTTGAAATGTGGTGGTGACGACAGCACAAGCTTTGTGGAAATGTTGTAGATTTTACAGCTATTCATCTGATTGTGTCCAAATTATTTTCCTTTACCTGACTAAGCAGTTTTGTTGTCTAAACCAAACCAAACTACAAACAAAAATGAAAACTACTTGTCTGACTACTACAGAGAGGAAACCTCAGCACCAGTGAATTTCTTTGTCCAGGACTCTTTGCAGTCCTGTGAAAAATTAAATAAACCCCATGATTTAAGAGCCAAGTAGAAGTAGATTTAAGTAATCGTTTTTTTTTTATAATGATCAGTCTTTCACAGCAGTATGGAGGAATTTTTACTGTTCTTTATAGAACTGCTTTATGTCACTGAGATTTGTGGGCATTAATTTGCATAGATCTCTCAAGAGGCACAGGAATTCATTTGGGTGAGATCTGGATTTTGACTGGACCATTGATTCTTTTTTTATCCATTTTCTTGTGGATTTGCTTTTATGTTGATGGTGATTGTCCTGTTGCATGACCAAGTTTCAGCTAGGCTTTAGCTGTTTTACAGATGACCTCCCATTTGACTCTAGAATACGGAGTACGGAGGAGTTCACAGTTTACCCAGTAACTGCAAGGTGTCCGGGTTCTGTGGCTGCAAAGCAAACCCAAACCCCTCCAAAACCGTGTTTGACAGCTAGTATTTGGTGTTTGTGCTGATATGCTGTGTTTGGTTTTCACCAAACATGCCACGATGTCAGACATCGGCACTTAGATCTCATCAGTCCAAAGAACATTGATCTACAAGTCTTGTAGTTTGTTCATGCGCAACTTTGTAAACCTAAACTGTGCTATCTCCTTCTAGAGGTCTTTCTCTTGGCAGCCCTTCAAAACAAAATATACTTGTTTAATCTGTTTCAAATTGTACTGTCATGAACTTTTTGGAGCTGTTGGGTTTTTCTCAGTTTCTCTGAGCATTGCACCATTTGACCTTTGGATACATTTGCTGGGACGTCTGCACAATATCGTACAATTGTGTTAACACCACACTAGCAAACTGCCAAAACCTCTGTTTTCATAGATATGATATTAATTAATCAGTCCTGTGAAAACAATCTCCCTGTTTTCATGTAACTGTGTGAATTTATTTAATAATAAATAAATACAAAGCAGTTGTGCTTGTTGTGTCCCACTACATGGAACCAATGGGAAAACAGCATGCATTTCCAAAAAACCAAGAAATAACTGAACTTTGACAAGGTGTGTATATTTCCTACTGATCCAAAGCTCATCAGCACAACTCAATTCAAGAGAAATAATTTAATTTTGAATTTTCTGCATTTTCAAACACATGAATAGATACTGGTAGATTGATTTTGTTTGTGTGGGTTGGTTTAGTTTGAGTTAATCCAGTTAAAACTCAGTAGATTCCACCTGTGACTGCCAAGTCATAGCTATGGGAATTTGTGTCCTTGAACTGAAATGAGCCAGACTGTATATCTGGGTGTTCATATTATGCAAATATGGCTAACTCCTGATTTTGTTGTCCTGTTTTTCCAGAATGCAGGAGAGGGACCTACAGAGCATGTACGGAAGGGCGCTGCTGCTGACCGTCTGTATGGTGTCTCTCTGGGGACAGCTGACCAGTGCATCGTCACATAGGAGCCACATAGGTACACTGCATGTCCTTCCATTCATTAGTTTCCCATTGACCGGTGGCTGAACAGAGTGCTATCTTTCATAAATCATTGTTCATTCATACTATACAGAAACTCAGAAACACACACACAGCAGGATGTTCTGGGCAGGATGCCAAGAACAAATAAAGTCTGTTACTATGTCTGATCAACCTCTGTAGTGAAGAAACTCAGGAAAACATATAGTCACTTTATTATCCCATTAAAAGCCAGCAAAATCTTGTGAAATGATTTTTTTGAAAATAATGAGCTTGTTTGACTTCAAGATGGGCAGAAAAGCAAAAACCAGGAGCAGCAGACTGTGACAAACACACCAGCAGAATACATATTTAAAGGCAATTCATGCTCAGTTAGAACAAAAACAAACACATGCTATCACTGTGCTCACATTGTCCTTGAAATGTCTAGTTAAGTAGATTGTAATGATTATTGAGAGAAGCCAATAAATTTCCCTGCATACACTTCTTTGTAATTTACTTCCCAGGGATTTATACCAGTACCTGTTAGGAATTATGCATGCATATTGTGTTATTAAATTTTTATTCTGAGCTGTAAATCATCGCTTTAAGTTTCTATTTTACTTGCTATGATGGGCTAACATTTCCCCCCAAAAATATAACACCTGATGTGTTTTCTGATGTGGAAGGATTACAGTTGAGTGCTTTCAGTGGATCCATTCTGACCAAATTGGTACCCCAGTCACAGCATGTCAGACCCAATTCCTTATAGCTCAGCCACATGTTGTGGTCACATTTCATCTCAATGACTTTTTAAAAATAAATTGATATGATTTGTTCAACTTTCTTGGCTTCTAAACAGCAAAGCAAAGATGTACTTTAAGGTTGTGTTTTGTGCACATTAAAATTCAACAGTTTAGCAGTCTTGTAAGTCAAGCATCAAATGGAAAAAAGTAATACCAGTACACTAAGTGCATGCATGCGTCTCAGTGTGTGTGTGTGTGTTTGTGTTTGAAGCAGAGGACAAGACCTTTCAAAGCGATTTTCCTTAATGGAGAGATGGCCTGATCCCTGGGCGTAACGGTAGAAACTGTGACTACACATTGAGATAATGAGCCTTATTCCACTGGAGGACAAACAGCACACAGTGGCTAGAGGGAAACAGCTCCATGTTAGCTGAAAACATATAACCAGCAAAAGACTTTGATAGAGCCAAAACAGGATGGACTACACAAGGAGACTGTACATATTATATGTCACAAATGGATTGCACTACATACCTTGTCTGTGTATGTTCAAATCAAATCAAAAACAGAGGCTGATAAATATGGCAAATATAACTGTGTGTCAACCTGTTTTTTGACTTTGCTATTGCTAGATTAATAATTTGATTCATCATTCATAGGTGCACAGCTATTGAATATTTTCTTGTTAACTTAAGGTATATGTTTTAGTAAAATGTAATCATTCAACTTTTTAAATCAGTATAGAGAGCTCCACCACATCTAACTTTGTGTTCCTGTGTCCTAAACCAGCATTATTCACATTTACTTATTTCACTATAATAGATCCAGTGTTCTATAAAACACATTTCCATTACACAACCAGTGATATTGTATTGCGTCTTTAATCATTTTTACTTTATATTTTAAGTGCATTGTATATAACTGCACCAACATCAACCGAACAATCAGACATAATAAAATAAAACAACTAAACATAATAAAAATATAATTTTTCCACTGTGAACACACAACATTCAAAACAAATACAATGTGAAATACATGATGTGCAAGAGTGGAAAGCAGTCTCACCAGCTTTTCCTCAAGAAATATGAAATAAAATATGGAACATTCCAAAATATGGAGCATAAAAGATAAAATACAATATATGGACAAACGCTACATACCTTTCCATACTCTTCTGTGTGCTTTGGCGTTTCACATTTTTCATTGTTTGAACAAAGACCTCCGGTACTCATAAAGAATTATTTACACATTGTGATGTACGATAATGTGCTTTTAGCTCTGTGACAGCAGTGCGGGACAGGGCTTTTCCTGGTTAATCATGACCATGCACAAAGGCCCATAAAGGAAAGGTGCTCTGACTTTGACTGGTCTGCACAGGCTTACCTCACCCAACATCTTTCAGATAAACTGAAACCACAAGCTACACATAATAACATAAATACATAGTGTATATAACCCGATCACCTCTCATTTCATGATTTTTCCTAAAATGGATTTATTTGCCGTATAGTTAATTTTGAGGTGTATGGGGAAACTACATCAGTCATTTTCACCCCAATAGAATCAATGTAAAATGCTGCACTCAGCAGGCCTGTTTACACACATTTTGATGTGAAGGCTGTTATGAGTCAGAACTAATGATATGTGACTAATGAATTAAATATGTAGGAAGGTATAGTGAGTTAAAATAACAAATTATTATTTTCACTGCTCTGGCTGTGCAGAGCAGTTGGGGGATGAACTGAACAGAGTCCAGAGTGTGGAGAACTTACCCGAGCAAGCAAAGGGTGAAAGCTGGAGCACAGCAGCAGAATTGGATGTGTTTTAGGTGATCTGTAATGATAATAATTATCTAAATCATTTCAACCCTATAACTGAATCCTAACAGCTGACTTTGTCAAATATTTATTATAATTAGAAAAACTAGGTGACACTTAACAACTTAATTCCTTCAGGAAATTACTTCTTTGCCTTTGCTGTGGTCAAAATGTCCACATACTTTGGCCATGTTTCATATTCTTTCTGTTTTGGAGTGAGCATCAGGACAGCTTGCCTTTTCGCCTACTCGTGTAATAAACTAATCATTCCAATCAATATGTTCTGTATATATCTCTGTAGACTGACAGTAGAACACCAAATCCAACTAGTTTGAGCGCAAACATGCTGGATAAACCATTAAATCATCAGGCTTACATTGAACTCTCATTGTTTTTGCATTTGTCCCACTCATGTGGTTTGTGTGCTTATTCCTGTGATTTATTAGGAGAGAGAGAGGGCCAATGAAAGTAGTCTGGCCTGTTCTGCCCAGGCTGCGCTGACACTTCTGTAATCACGTAGCCTGTCCCTGAGCTACAGAGGTCAAGCCAAGGTGCGCCCAATAAACAAACCTCTTTAGCCCTTCTGTTTACTGAAGTGGGGGCTTTGCCAAAGCAATTGAACCTTTCACCATTGCCTGACTGGAGCATGCTGAGCTTACAGCGTGCACACATAACCCCTGTAATAAGACCACTGCATCCCCCAAAGCACTATCTACATTCATTAGCCGGTCATGAAAGAGTGGAGAGGGAGATGAAGGGCGAGAGATGGCGCTAGAAGAAGAAGAGTGGTCCAGCAAGAGAGAGAGAGAACCAGCGTGATAACAACTACCTTTCGGCTTTACAATTTGTTTTGGTCCCATCGATAGGATTTAGACTGATGTTGTGGCCTGGTCAAATGGGAGCCTCATTACTCAGCTATTTAGATGCTTGGACACTTTTTTTTAACAGCAGCTCAATGTGTCTCATTTAAAAAGCAGGAATGAAGCTCTTTGTGGATTGTTGGTCAGTGTCTGTGAGGGGAAATGTAGGAGAGAGGAAAACAGGCGTGAAAAACACATTTCCCACTGAGGCTGTGCGATGCAACATGGCAGCAGCTCCCACTCGTTGAGAGAGGGAAAAGAAAACGCTCTAAGCAGTGCTGTTTACAGGTCGTAAACTTTGCTAGATTTTAAAATATCAAGCATTAAGCCACATGGCTCATGGATAACTACACAAATTGCAAAATGACTTCGGGGATCAGCTTTACACTCCGGTTCTATATTCACATGCACACAAGGGGCCATGCCGCCTTATTAATAAGATGAAACTGCACTGGCTCTCATTTGAATAGAGTAGAATATTTCCATATTTGCTTATGGTGGAGACTTTCTAAAAACTGCGTGATGCACTCTAATGGTTCGTTCTCGAGCTGATTTTTATGCTTTGGGGGATTTTTTTTGTATTCTATGCAAATTGGTTTCAACTTTTTTCACTCTTTCCCAAATTAATGGCAGAATCCAACAAAAAAGTTTTTGTTCCCCACACTGTCCCCATCAGAATAATTTCTGGAAAAAAGATATATTAGGATGTGTCACATTAATACAAATTATGAATTAAAATATGCTTACTAGATAAATTAGACTTGTTTTCCTGTGCCAGCCTGGAGGGAAGGAAGACTATGAAAAAGAGCTTTTCATGCTTGATGGATCTTGATGAGAATCAGGCGGCAGCAGAGCGCTTTTTCTTAGTGTTTAAAGGCTTAGATCATTTTAGAAACTCAAAATAATATAATTTGTTACTATCCAACTTTGAATAGCCTTGGGGTAGATTTAGTCATTGTGTTTTGAACAGTGATTTTTTTTTCTTCACAGTAGAAGAAATATTAAAATGAAATAGCTTGATTATTGAAAAAGTTGTTTTATCCTGTGCATGTCTCTTTGGTTTATACTTAACTCATTCATGCTTCTCTCTGTATTCCCATTTCCACAGATCACCAAATAAGCAAAAAACACTGAAAGTGAAAATAAATATAAAGTTATCTTCCACTGTGGCTGCTAATGAAGACTGCATGAAAAAGTGAATACAGTGTTGTAAAGATATTCGTATTCAAATATTCTTGATGAGATATGGATTAGTCTTCTTAAAACCCCTTAGCAGTCCTATTAGTCCCCTAAACCATCCAATGTCCCGTGGGCGGTACGTCCGACTGCTAACAGTTTAACTGTTAAAATACCTCAAAATGGTAATATTCATGTTTATTATTAAAATTGTTCCCTTTGATATAAATACATTTTTGACAAGACCTTCCAAGTAACTTCACTTAGCTAACTTTAGAGCAGCATAATATTAGTTTTGCTGGTCTAAATTCTATTATTGTTCAATATCTTCAGCCCTAACAATGTGTTGATGCTATAGATTTGTAAAAATATATAAAAATCCATAAATAAACAGTATCCTCCATAGACACACACACT